TTATGAAAATAAACTCAGATGGGGCTGCACTTTGGAGGGATGGGTACGTCAGAGGGCTCGCCCGTGTCTGCTTTTTCTGTGGGAATAAGGACCACGATTGTTTTAGAATAAGTCGGGGGCTAAAAATCCAAAACACTGAGTAAAAATCGCCCGTCAGTCTGTTGGTCGTGTTTTGAGGTCCTCAAACACACGCCCAGGTGCATTTCTACCTCAGTTTGGTCGTCAGCTTTGAGAGGGTGCAGCTACAGGCCTGCATCAGCTCAGCTGGGCATGTTGGTGACGGCCAAGCTCCGTGACAGCCTGCAGGAGGCGAAGGCAGCGGCTCAGAGCCACCCGTGGGAGGGAGCCACACAGGAAGGCTCTCCCTCAGGCCTGCCTCCCGGCCTGAGAAACGCCGGCAGCCGCGTCTGGGCAGGAAGGCGCTGGCCTGCCACGACGCCATGGGAGCTGAGACCCAGTGGACACCTGACGTGTCTCACGTTCGGCGTCACAAAGAGTTCATTTCCCCAAACACGTTGACCCTTGAACAACGAGGTCTGAGCTGCGAGGGCACACTTATATGTAGAATTTTTTCAATCAATATATTGGAAATTGTTTTGGAGATTTGTGACAATCTGAAAAAACGCGCAAACTGCATAGCCTAGAAATATTTTTTAAATGAAGTAAAAGTTACGTATGCCATGCATGTATAAAATATATGCAGATACTGGTCTGTTTTATTATTTACTACCCTAAAATACACACAAATCTATTTTAAAAAGTTAAAATTTACTAAAACTTACGCACATGAACACAGATGGCACAATTCACAGTCGAGAGAAATGTAAACCAACGTTAAGAAGCTGTGTTAAATCATGACCCACAAAGTTATCTGTGGTGCACACTAGGCTCCTGTGACAATGTCGTGACCACGTCCTGTCCCTATTGCCGTGAGCCCGAGCGTGGCCTACAAGGCCATGCGACGCCATCCTCACGCGAGCCGTCCATCTGTCCGGCCGGTCGTGCGCCATCGCAGCCAAAGCGGGCTCAGGGTTCTCGTGCGCTTGTCGGCAAGTTCAGTGCGAGACCGCTAACCCCGAGCGACACCAGGGGACCGAGCGAGGCGGTGCCGTGGTCCTGGCGCGCGCCCAGGACGCAGAGAAGTCGTGACGTGACGAGACTTCGGTTGCCTCGCGTGCAGAGAGGGGCCTGCGGCCGCGGTCGCCAGCATTTCAAGATAAATAAATGCAGCGCGAGGACACGC